TTCAGTGGCTTCGTTGCTTTCATCTGTGGCGATCTTCGGGTTTCCAATCATGCTTTCCAGGATTCGAAAATGCACTCGACAGAGAGCGGAGAGGTTTGACAGGCTTCGAGCTTTTAGACTGCAGCACGGCTTGCATGAAGAGTTCGGTGCTGCTGGAAATGAACTACAATCTCTGTGCGTGTTCCGCGTCTGCGCGTCCTGTCTGGAAAACGTTCTCTCCGGAGAATGTACGCTACAGCGACGCTCATGGACAAATTCAGGGAAGGTCGTATGAAGCGTGGACAGACACGCAGCGTGTCAACCCCCCTGCATCCAAGGAAGTCGGCGGTCTAGGGATCTTGGGGGCCTACTAGGCCTCGGCCTCAGGACGGGTTAGACGTCTGATCGCCGAGATGCGAGAAGTTTCAGCTGGGTCCTCCAGGTCGTCTTGGCCTTCGGGGCATCGGGCGGGCTCCGGACGGCTCCCTTCTGATTCAACGTATCTTTTCGCAGACACCACTGAAATGCCGAGAGAAAACCTGAAAACGAAGGCGCCCAAGTTGCGATTTCTTAAGGGCCGGCCCACGCGCCTTTCTCCCTGAGACGGTCCGGTCGAGTGTCCTGAGCTTTCTTTGAGGATGTTTCTCGACCAATGTCGTTTGACAATAGTCTTCCAGTTCTGGCTGGATGGCTACGGACCCCAATTCCGTCTCCTATACTGTGCTTGGAGCTCTAAGATGATCTGTTTTGCATCTTCCTTTCCAGCACTTCGTGAGGCTTTTAACAGCTGGTGCTTCAAGCCTCCTTCTAGGGGCTGGTGCCCTGGGACGGCAAAGCTCCAAAGCTCCGGGAGGGTCGTCGACTTTCAATGTTAACGGCCCGAAGCCGCCATCAAAGTTCGCAAACCTTCCTCAAACTGTGCATGACCCCAACATACATACGAGCTACTATGGCTTGGCATTCCTCCTGCTTTCCGTTCGGTTGCGCCCTCTGTACGTGAGACACAGCTTTTGGCTCCTTTGGGTGCCCCCGAAACCGGAAGCAGAACGCTAGACAGAGACACGTCACGCATGTCACGCCACGAACCGAAATGGGACCGGGAAGGCCTAGACGCCAAAATCTCTGAGATCCCCTCTCTCCCTGGAAGCCTAAGTTTCAGAAAGACAGAAAGAGCAGAGCAACACACACGTCCCCCGGCCCCCCCTCCCCCCAGTTGTGGCAAGCTTCAATTGCTCTGCTTGCTGCTGCGCCTGAGCCATGTGATTCTCGTGCCAGACGATGGTGCCCTGCTGCAGAGAATCCGGGGCGGGGGGGGGGGGATGATGTGATGTGGCATAGAAACAAATGAGCAGCGCTGTGCTAGCAGTCTCTGAAAGTCTCGTGAAAGCATGGACAGCTTCGGGGCAGAGGGACTGGCGACGCAGAGAGAAATATCGAAGGTTCAGGGTGAAGGATTTCGGAACGCCTGTCGGACATGCCCAAGATAAAGGGCGATTGCACTCAGCCGCCAGGACTTGTACGAAGTATGCAAGCCTCTCCGATGCACGGATGCTCTTCAGGCAACCCCATGCGCAAGGATTCCGTGCGCAAAAGCAAGACATCAAGCCACGCCAAACTCAAAACATCAAGTTCCGAGTCCCGGCCTTTCTCGATGTGTTTGCGACGGAGCTTCCTCTGCGAGATTCGCGTCAGTGGGACTTTTGCCGCATGTGTGGCATCAAAAACTGCGAGGTGGCGGAGTCTCACTAGTTTCAAGCTTGCAAGCAAGTTCTGGCGCAGTCCGTTCGAGGGTCCCATATCGTGGCATGTAGTATGTAGGCATAGTCACAGCCAAGCCTTCATATTGCAGAAAGCTCCATGACCTATAGACCGCGAAGCAACATACACCCTAAACTCGGAAACCTCAGCCCTCCCCCCCTCCCCCCCTTGGCACCTGCACTTGCTTTCTCGATATCGAAGGAGTGGTCGTTCTTACGCTCCTCTTGGAAACGTGCGGCTCAGGATTTCAGATGTTGGGGGCAACACGGAACAAGGAACTTGATGGTAAATACAATTCGAACCGCGGCATAATCTGAGGGCCCGAAAACCCAGACCTGTGAACAACGACTGCTGCAATGCTCGAAATCGGTTTGGGGCGCTTGCCGAGAACAACCTCGAGATTGCGATCCTTCAATCACCAACTTCAGGCAGCTCTACACGCTACACAAGATCGCATGTCAAAGACATCACATGAGTGTGGCACCGCGGGTATCGACGACTGCCCTGCCAAGTTTCTGGACGTGGAAACAGGAGTCGCATCCAGAACATGGGCGGGTGCCGTGGCAGGAGCACGACACAGCAAGTAAGGACAGCAAGCACTTTGAGCCTCTAACATTTGACAACCAGAAATTAGCTCGGGACTGTTGCGATGGCATGATTTCCATCGCCAATTACGCACTATGCTGTGGCGGGAGTGCGATTCATTATGTTCGAGAGCCTGGACGTATTGTCGAATAGGGCAGGGGGCGCAGAGCGAACCCTGTCCTGTGGCCCATTCTGTTGCGACACTTAAGGAGTCAAGCAGTTTCGGAGCTCCGGCTCCTGTCTTGTCGGCGATCTGTTTCCGACGTCGCTTCCTTTGCGGGAGGGTCAAAAGTGGTGGGCTCCGCCCTACCACATGAGCAAAGTCAACACTCCAAACATGCAGACTTACGGCTGCTGCCTTTGCAACCGTCCTAAGCCAAAACATGCTGCTGCAGACCATGAAGTAGCCCACAAATCAACACATCAGCCCTCAACGCCCTTTGCAGGCACCTGCGCTTGAATCGAAGCGGGAGCGCTTTGAACGGGTTGACTCCTGCCGCATGCGTATGGCTCTGGATTTCATGTATGGGGCCGTGCAAGTGTCGAAAACAATGTAGGCTTGCTGATTACACTTGTTCTGGACGGAACGCACGCAACAAGTAAACAAGCAGCAGTTTTGAAGCGCACCGAAACGAGTAGGTCGCCCGAACGTCCTTCTTGCTGGAACGTGGCAGAAGCGACGCTTACAACAGCTCAGAGCTTTCTAAACCGAAATCAACCCTGTTTTGGCACCCTTCAAGCAGATGCCCACGGATCCCGTGCTATCAAGCTACGCTACAGACCAGGATCAATTGCGATGTTCCAGCCTGTCTTGTCGGCGATCTGTTTCCGACATCGCTTCCTTTGCGGGAGGGTCAAAAGTGGTGGGCTCCGCCCTACGACATGAGCAAAGTCAAAACTCCAAACATGCAGACTTACGGCTGCTGCCTTTGCAACCGTCCTAAGCCAAAACATCCCCCGAAGCTGCTGCAGACCATGAAGTAGCCCAAAAATCAAAAAACATGGGCCCTCAATTGATTTGACGTTGCAAGATTCTTGAACATTTGGTTTCACGCGTCCTCTCTGGTATCTGTGGCGTCGAGGCTTAAGCTGAGCCAAAGCCTCCCACTGTTGAGCTTCAAAGAACAAACAAACACACACACACACACAGAGACACACCCGCCCTCGACCAAAAAACATACCCAGAAAGAAACGGTAGTTGGCCCATAACGCCCGCGGTTGGTGCCTGCACTTGCTGTATCGATGGAGTGGTCGGTCTCTTCGTGCTCCTCTCGGAAATTTGTGGCTCAGGGTTTTAGATGCGGGGGCACCATGGAACAAAGGATTTTTGACGAGCAAACAACCCTGGAACCGTGACAAAGCCGCTGGGAGGGAAGCTGCGAAGTGAAGACAGGCTGAGGAATGCATCTATGTGATGGCAGTGAAACACGGAAGAACACAGACGAAAGCGTGAGACTCACAGCATGCTTCCATGAACAGACCAAGCAGCTTGGTGAGCTAGGTATCAATAAATCTCTATCTCTACACTCTACAACCCAGGGAAGAGTCCCGCTGCATTCAGCGCAAGACGCGGACGAGGCGAAACGAGTCGACAGTTTGTGAAAGAGAGCTCCGATTTCAGGGCGAGTCTGAAGCAGAGGGAGGACAGAGTGCTCTGTTTCCCCTGGCTGTCTCGGGCTTCCTGTCGGCTTTAGGGCACCCGTTGCTGCGCACAGCCAACGTAAGAAGTTCAAGATCCTCCCGGAAGAAGCTCAACTAGAGCCCCGATTTTCAAGACCCTGCAAGTCGAGCGCTTCCCGCAGCTTCCCGAGGTCCGAGCCTCGATTTGTTTCGGAGAGGTGAGCATGCTGAGCCATTCCTGGCGCAGAGCAAAGAAACCAAGAAGCGCCTCGCAGCTAGCCGCTGGGAGATCTACTTCGAGTCATGCTGCGACCACGTGAAAACGACGATGATAAGCCATCCTGATGCTCAGAGCTGAATGTGCGTCGAACGCCAGCCACACGTCAAGGCGAAGGGCCAAAGCAAGCCAACTTATCGGCAAATCCGCATGACGTGAGGATTGAATATCCCCACGGAGAAACCAGCAGTAGCTCCCCGAGGAAGGTCCAAATAAAGTAAAGTCGCATTGATGTCCGATCGCCCGAGACCATGGATGAGCGTAGTATCGAAAGTACTGAAACAAGAAGAAAGGCCTTTTATAAAGCCAAGACCTTGCAGCCCTTACCACTACAACCCAACACTTCCCAAAAAAGCCCACAGCCCTAAAGCTTTCGCCCTGAAAAGCTCTACGGACTCGGCTCCTTTCGCCTGGTGATACCCCACGAAAGCTGCAACCCTCAAACCGAACACTGAAGTCGATTGAATCTGCCTCCCGCCCCCTTTTCGGAGCGATCTGGAACTTCTTGAATTGTTGTTGGGCTACGTTCCAGAGCCAGTGAAGACCCTCGGCTTCGGCTTGCGGCTTGCCGCAGCGCGTCTGCCCCGCCCGAGCAGCACCGCAGCGATTGGTGCAGGTGCCATGCGATACACTTCTTAGCAGCTTCACACGCTGCAGGATCTGAGAAAAGAGAAATTGTAAAGATATAATGCATTCCAACCCATGATGCGTGGCGTCGAGACCAGCACATGCCACGAGGATAGCGACTCCAGACGCTTTGCGACCATGACCGTCTCTTCGC